ACAGGTTGTTAAAGGTTAGATGACAATGAATTTGAGAAGCAACAGTTTTTTCAATATTGGAGTGATGGCAGCAGTTTTGAAGAATGTAGGAACAATTCCGGTGGAGAGTGAGGAATGGATGATGGCAGAGATGAGGGGGAGCAGAGAGGGGAGGCAGGCGTTCACCAGAACTGTGGGGAGGGGATCTAGCTGACAGGTGGAGGGCTTGAACTTTAGGATGAGGTCTGAGATATCTGAGTCAGAGGGGAGCTGAAAGAAGGAGAATGAGTGAGACGTCAAACAGGGTTCAGGGCAGGTTTTATTAGATTATGCCGGAGTAGTAGTTGAGTTTGGTTTGAGAAATGCAGTCCTTATAATGTAAAATGTGATTTTTGTGCATGTCTTTGTGAACAACAAGACCAGTTTTCTTGTACAGTCACTCAAACTGTCGACCTTTGGCTTTCATCTGCCGTAGTTCGGAAGTGAACCAAGGGGCAGAGTTGGAGAAGGAGACAGACCTGTTTTTCAGAGGAGCGAGAGAATTAAGAATGGTGTTGAGGCCGTTGTTGTAGTGGGAAGCCAAGTCGTCGGGGGTGGATGAATTGTGAGTGTTCAGGAGGCAGTTAATACCAGAAGAAAGTGCATCAGCATTAATTTTCTTAATGTTACGGAATGAGATGACACGTGGGGGCTTTGTTGAGGAGAGAGTGAGTTTGACTTTGAACGACAGAAGCAAATGATCAGTTATAGGGAGTTCATCTGCAATACAGTTGGAAGGAATGAGACCAGAACAACAAACTAAATCCAGAATGTGACCCTTTGAATGAGTGGGAAAGTCAATATGCTGCTGGAAGCCAAAGCTGTCAAGACAGGATGCAAAGTCACAGGTAAGAGGGAGATTGTTATTGTCCATATGTATGTTGATGGATGTATCTCCGACGAGGCAGGAAAGCGATGTCTGGATGAAGGAGAATTGCCGGCGGAGGCTTGAGCAGGTGAAGACGGAGCCGATGAAGTTCAGCAACTGAATACTGGAGGAGTCCTGTCACGGGTTGATGGAGGAGCGACGGGAGAGACCAGACGAAAGCAATCCAGATAGAAAGCCTACCAGCCCACATTGTAGACGAGGACCCAGATGACTTAGGCGGTCAGGTGAACAAACCAGGTAAAGGGCTTGAGGCCGAGGCAGTGGGCTAATGTTAGCAGTGGCGAACCGTGCCATCACCGCAGAGAAAAGAAATCATCGCGGAAAAAAGCAACAGTATGATGAATTGAAAGGGTGTAACAAGTGCAATCCTTTAATTAACGATGACAAGGATGTAAACAAATAGACCATAACGTCAATAACATTCTCCGCAACAAGAAACATTCTCAACATTAACTTCAGAAAACTGGAGACCATTTAGGCTACATAGTTGAAATTAAATAAACATACTCTAAAGCCAAAATCTGGAAATATAAAATTAGGTCACCCAGAATGTCATCCCGTGACGCTGCTGACACAGACACCGAGGCTCATTTCATCACCATGGACAGCGCTATGAAATCACGGCGCATTACAAATCATTCACACATTGACAAATAAATTCATGAGCATCATCAATCTACAATACAATTTCAAAAGCACAATACGCCAAAAGTTACACAAAGCGGGTAATACAAAGACTATTTTTTAAAGATGCAATGAAGTGCAAATGCCTCTCCATGCGCAATTACGCATGGCGCAATGAATACCTATGTCAAATAAATTTAAGTCACAATTTTTATTTATAGGTTCTACTATACCTCCTTAATTCTCCACAGGGAAAGGGAAAGACAAGTGAGCATGGGGGGAATAAAAACCCTCTGAAAACAAAAATCCAACCAGACACTTCTGATACGTTTGATACATTGATTGATTGATTACATATTGAATTAAAGCTGCAAGCAGTGATGAACGGGCCCTCGCACTCCTCGCAACTCAGGGGGTGCTGCGGCCGCGCCACCAATTTTGATGTTAATCCAATAAATTCCCTAGTAGGAGTTTGTTGAAATACAACACAAAAAACGCTGAAAGTCTGCAAAATGCCTGAAATGGCATCACAGTTTCACATTCGATTCAACCTGGCCAAATTTGACGGCACGCCACAGACACACCCTTCAACGTACGTGCAAAAATAGCTTTTAAACAGCAAGATACTTTGACTGTACTGACCAATTTTGAAGCAGATCCGATGAATTCCCTAGGAGGAGTTCGTACAAACATGAAAAATGACAGAAAATGACAGAAAAATTCAAAATGGCTGACTTTGATGCCACGCCACGGACACGCCCTTTAATGTACATGCACAAATAGCATAACTTTTAATCAGCAACATCTTCTATCTGTACTGACTAATTTTGATATAGATCTGATGAATTCCCTAGGAGTTCGTTCGTTCAAATACAACGCAAAAAAACGCAGAAAAAGGCAGCGAAATTCAACGTGGCCAATTTTGACGGCACGGCACGGACACTCCCTTTAACGTACGTAGACAAATAGCACAACTTTTAATTAACAACATAGTTTGACTGTACTGACCAATTTTGAAGCAGAGCCGATGAATTCCCTAGGAGGAGTTTGTTCAAATACAACACGGAAAATTCACCAAAAATGACCACGGAATTCAAAATGGCCAACTTTGACGGCACGCCACGGACACGCCCTTCAACGTACATGCACAAATAGCACAACTTTTAATCAGCAACATACTTTGACTGCACTGACCAATTCTGAAGCAGATCCGATGAATTTCCTAGGAGGAGTTTGTTCAAATACAAGGCAAAAAGTTTGGCGAAAATGAAAATGAAAATGGCTGACTTCACGTGGGGCTTGGGGTATGGGTGCAAGAGGCTTTTTTGTATGTCTCGGCACGTTACATGTGCCTACCGAGTTTCGTACATATCGGTGAAACGTGGTGCCGGGGCTGCTTTTTTGAAATACTGTAGGGGGTGCTACAAATTTGAATTTCATATTCATAACTATTACGGTCTCCGCACAGTGACATACCATGCCACCAGAGCGCCACCTAGTGGCAGATCGTTGACAATTTTTTTAGGGAGCCTCAGGGAACGTTGGGCAAGCATTGTACCAAGTTTCATTTTAATCACACGTGCTGATGCGGAGATATAGACTTCTTAATTTTAAAGAGCGCCACCTTGTGGCGATGGCCTGAAATTGTGCACGATGCCTAAGGAAGACATGGGGAACTATGGACCCAAGCTTGGTGTCAATCGGACATACCACTGTGGAGAAATGTGCGCCACGTTTGATGAATTTTTCGAACACGGGAAAGCCTCCAAATATGCGTTTGTTTAGGAGAAAAAAGAAAAAATAAGAAAAAGAATTCCTTCAATTACAATAGGGCCTTCGCATGATCAGTGCTCGGGCCATAATTAAAGGCAATTTGCGCTGGGACAACCTCCGCAATAAATACAAATTCCTGAATGTCCACTTGGCCAGTAATCTTAATCCCTTGAAATAATAATCAAGGTGGCTTATAACATAGGCCTACCTTACATGAAAATGAAGTCCATTCGTCGTTCTTTCTTTGTGGAGTGGGCGATGGCAGCGTCATAAAGTTTGTCCTTTGATTTGAGCTCCAAAAGAAGTCCTTTCTCTATGGACATCAGTGCCAAAGCTCCCAGGCGATCCTGTCCAGTACTGTTCCTGGCGTGCGTCTTGATGCGCTTCAGAGCCGAGGAAAGACCGCTCCATGGAGGAGGTGGACACGGGGATGGTCAGCACCAGGCAGGCGAGGTGATACAGCTGCGGCATGCTCTCATTCAGCTCTTTAAGAGTCAGAAAGTGCAGCAGGTCTGTTGGGCTCCTTGCCTCAATGTTTGCCATGTTGTACATGACCGTCAGTTCAGTCTTGAGCCTGGGGAGGTCAAAATGCAGCCCGTAGTTTTCTGTGAGGCTCTGAAACTCAGAGTTGGGGAAGTTTTCTCTGTATGAGGCAAACTTCTTGTGGTCCAGAAGGGCAAGGAACATGAGTTTTTCATGATCCTTGAACCTGTTCCTCAGCTGAGGAGAATGTTGTCCAGGATTTCACTGTGCAGCTGCTGGTACGCTGCGCGCACATCTCCAACTCTCCGTGCTCTGCGCCTGCTGGGAACCCCAACTTCACGCACTGTGTCCTCATAGATGGAGTCAAATTTGGCCTTTTCTCTCTTTGTGGTGCTGCAAAAGTCCTCGATGCTGGACAAACAGAACTGCATGTCATACTCCTTATTCTGCAAGATCCCAAAGAGCACGTCGGAGTAGGCGAACACGGAGTTGAATTTGGCAAGGGGAAAGCAGAACTCGAAGCCAGTCAGCAGTGCAGTGTATCCATCAGCCCTGTGTACAGCATCATCATCAAAATCATTGTGGTTGTCAACAATGAATTCAAAGAGCTCCAAGAGTTCTTCTCTCCACTCATACACAGTGCAAACCAAACGTGATGAAAAGTTCCACCGTGTTGGAGTCACTCTGGGCAGTCTTCGCTGGCATATTTCATCCAGGAGTTTCGTGCGTTTGGCACTCTCACTCTTTGATTTTAGCAGCACTTTGAGACATGACGAGGTTCAGAGAGTGCGCATAACAGTGAACAAAGAGAGCTTGTGGTATTTTTTGCTTTATTTTAGCTTGGACCCCATTCAGTCCAGAGGCCTTGACTGCAGCTCCATCGTAACACTGGGCAATTACCTTATTGGTGCAGGCACAGTCCTCCAGAAACTCCGACCAGCTATGACTTCTGCGCACTTATCACCACTGACATCACCAAACTGGAAAAAGTGCTCCTTCACCCCAACGTCAGTGGTGTAACGCAAGACATATGACATCTGAGCAGTGTTACTTACATCAGTGGTCTCGTCTACCATAACGGAGATAAAAGGCGTGTTCCTCACCTCCTCCCTCATTGCTTCGGTCATTACATCTATTCAATTCAATTCAATTTTATTTGTATAGCGCCAATTCATAACAGAAGTTATCTCAGGACACTTTCCAAATAGAGCAGGTCTAGACCGAACTCTTTAACATTAATTACAGAGACCCAACAGTACCACCATGAGCAAGCACTTGGCGACAAGGGCAAGGAAAAACTGCCTGTTAAAAGGCAGAAACCTAGGACAGATCCTCCGGCTCTAGGTGGGTGGTCGTCTGTCTCGACCAGTTGGGGTGAGAGAGTGAGAGAGAGAGAGACAGACAGACAGACAGGTGCACAGCAACAACAGTATTGGCAATAGCAGTCAAGCAGGACCATGGCAGGAGGCTCCACCAGGATCAATGAGAACCTGCGAGACGAGAAAGCACAAGAACTCCGAGGAAGAAGTGGAGTTAGTAACATGCATTAATGGGACATGAATGAGTGCAGAAAGAGAGAGGAAGAGAGTAGCTCAGTGCACCATGGGAAATCCCCCGATAGTCTAGGCCTATAGCAGCATAACTAAGGGATGGTTCAGGACTCACCTGATCCAGCCCTAAATATAAGCTTTATCAAAGAGGAATGTCTTAAGCCTACTCTTGAATGTGGTGAGGGTGTCTGCCTCCCGAACCACAACTGGAAGCTGGTTCCACAGGAGAGGAGCTTGGTAACTGAAGGCTCTGGCTCCTGTTCTACTTTTAGAGACTATAGGAACCACAAGTAGCCCAGCATTCAGAGAACGTAATGTTCTAGTGGGGTAATAGGGTACTATGAGCTCTTTAAGATATGAAGGGGCCTGACCATGAAGAGCTTTATAGGTGAGGAGGAGGATTTTAAATTCAATTCTACATTTTATAGGGAGCCAATGCAGAGAAGCTAGTACAGGAGAGATGTGATCTCTTTTTCTAGTTCCTGTCAGTACTCATGCTGCAGCGTTCTGAATTAATTGGAGCGTTTTAATGGACTTATTGGGGCAACCTGATAATAAAGAGTTGCAGTAATCCAGCCTTGAAGTAACAAATGCATGGATTAGTTTTTCTGCATCTGTCTGTGATAGTATGTGTCTAATTTTTCTAATATTACGTAAATGAAAGAAGGCGGTCCTAGAGGTCTGCTTTATGTGGGAGTTAAATGACAAATCCTGATCAAAGATAACTCCAAGATTCCTGACAGTGGTGCTAGAGGCCGAGTTAATGCCATCTAGAGTGACTATATCTTTAGACAATGAGTCTCTAAGGTTTTTGGGGCCAAGAACAAGAATTTCGTTTTTTTCTGAGTTTAACATCAGAAAATTGCAGGTCATCCAGGATTTTATGTCCGTAAGACATGTTTGTAATTTAGATAATTGATTAATTTCATTGGGTTTGATTGATAGATATAACTGCGTATCATCTGCATAACAGTGAAAGTTAATGGAGTGATTCCTAATAATGTTGCCTAAAGGGAGCATATATAAAGTAAATAGTATTGGTCCAAGTACAGAACCTTGTGGAACTCCATGACTAACTGTAGTATTTATGGAGGATTCATCGTTAACATGTACAAACTGAGAACGATCTGATAAGTATGACTTAAACCAGCTTAGGGCAGTTCCTTTAATGTCAATTTGATGCTCAAGTCTCTGTAAAAGAATATCATGGTCAATGGTGTCAAATGCAGCACTAAGATCTAATAATACAAGTACAGAGACAAGTCCATTGTCAGAAGCAGTCAGAAGGTCATTATTAACTTTAACCAGAGCTGTCTCTGTGCTATGATGAACTCTAAATCCTGACTGAAAATCCTCAAATAAACTATTGTTATGTAGAAAGTCACACAACTCTTTGGCGACTACTTTCTCCAGAATCTTAGAGAGGAAGGGGAGGTTAGAAATCGGTCTATAGTTGGCTAAAACCCCTGGGTCAAGAGTGGACTTTTTAAGAAGGGGTTTAATTACAGCTACTTTAAAGGACTGTGGTACATATCCTGATAATAAAGAAAGATTATTCATATCCAGTAAAGAAGTGCCAATTAAGGGAACAACTTCTTTAAGCAGCCTAGTTGGGATCGGGTCTAATAGACAGGTTGATGGCTTCGATGAAGAAATGATTGAAGTTAACTGATGAAGATCGATAGCAGAAAAACAGTCTAAATATATATCTAAGTTTACATTGACAGAAGTCCCTGAACTTGGAGAGCCACTGATAACTGTTGATGGCAGTTGGTGATTAATTTTTTCTCTAATAGTAATAATTTTATTATAGAAGAAACTCATGAAGTCATTGCTACTTAAGTTTATGGGGATATGTGGCTCGATAGAGCTGTGACTCTCTGTCAGCCTGGCTACAGTGCTGAAGAGGAACCTAGGGTTGTTCTTATTTTCTTCTATTAGTGCTGAGTAATAGGCTCCTCTGGCATTACGGAGGGCCTTTCTATAAGTTTTAAGATTATCTTGCCAAATTGAGCGATATTCTGATAATTTGGAAGAGCGCCATTTCTTTTCAGATTTTCTAGCTATTTGTTTTAACTGGCGGGTTTGGTGGTTATACCAGGGTGCTAGTCTCCTATGTTTTAATAATTTCCTTTTTATAGGAGCGATAGAGTCTAATGTTGATCGTAGTGAGCCTGTAGCACTATCGACAAGATTATCAATTTCAGAGGGACTAAAGTCATTATAGGACTCTGTTAAATTCAGACATGGCATTGAATTAAACACTGAAGGAATCTCCTCCTTAAATTTAGCTACAGCACTGTCAGATAGACATCTGCTGTAGGAAGTTTTGCCTAATGGCTTATAATCTAATAGTATGAATTCAAAAGTTATTAAATAATGGTCAGATAGGAAAGGATTATGTGGGAAGACTATTAAATGTTCAATATCAATGCCATATGATAAAACAAGGTCAAGAGTGTGATTAAAACAATGAGTTGGTTTATTTACACTCTGACAGAAGCCAATTGAGTCTATTAATGATATAAATGCATTACTAAGGCTGTCATTGTCAACATCCACATGAATATTAAAATCACCTACAATAATTACTTTATCTGATTTAAGGACTAAACTTGATAGAAACTCTGAAAATTCAGATATAAAGTCAGAGTACGGTCCAGGAGCGCAGTACACTATAACAAATAGAACTGGCTGCAGTGTTTTCCAGTTTGGGTGAGAAAGACTAAGAACAAGGCTTTCAAATGAATTATAATTTAGTTTAGGTTTAGGGTCCATTAAAACGCTCGAATCATATATGGCTGCCACTCCACCTCCTCGGCCAGTGCCTCGAGGAATGTGAGTATTAATATGACTGGGGGGGGTGGATTCATTTAGGCTAACATACTCCTCGTGGGACAACCAGGTCTCAGTAAGACAAAGTAAATCAATATCATAATCTGATATTAATTCGTTCACTAAAACAGCTTTAGAGGACAGAGACCTGATATTTAATAGCCCACATTTCATTCTCTTATTTTGTGCTACTGAGGAGTTGGTTTTAATTTTTATTAGATTTTTATGTTGAACTCCTCTTGTTTTTATTTCTTTAAATAATTTAGGTGGTCGGGGGACAGACACAGTCTCTATGGGGTTTTGGGTGGGTGACTGTTCTAAAGAAAGAGCAGAGAAGTGTGTAAGACAGCAGCTCTGCTTCCTGGTCCTAACTCTGGACTGTCAGGTTTTAGAGATAAACTTCGCCACATCTGCCACCGATTGAATCAGGTCATTCTGAATTTTGCTGGAGGTGCCGATGAAAACAGTGGCTGAATCCAGATGACAGCGCAGAGGGCTGTCATATCCCGCCAAAAACTCCAACACTATGTGTATATATTTTTAATTATAGTATTTATAATATTCTTATTCATTTTTACACTCTGTACTGTACCATGGGAGGAACATCTTATCTTATCCTCTGACCTTGAGTTTTTGGAGGGCATTCCAGTTCTTGGTAATGTAACTGTTAGCCATCATCAAGTGGAGAAAATATGGCCTCTTCACTGTGTTCCATGGTATATCTTATGCCTTGGAAATTCTTTTGTACCCTTCTCCTGACTGATACCTTTCAACAATGAGATCCCTCTGATGCTTTGGAAGCTAAGATGCAACTAAGAAAATGTAAGTCTTGGCGAAAATTTTTTTATTTTCTAGGGGTCCACTATGAGCAAAAATGGCCCCTCAGGGGCCCATAAACTGTACCACCGGGGGCCCCTTTCACCGATATGCATTAAAATCGACACACGCGTGGATCTGATCAAAAAATCCAGGGGGCGACATATCCCAAAACCAACAGGAAGTCGGCCATTTTGGATTTAGCTGTCATTTCTGGTGATTTGCACATGTTGTATTTGAATGAACTCCTCCTAGAGAATTGATCCGATCAACTTGAGATTTGGACACAGCCATCTAAAGACATTCATGATTAAAAGTTGTGCTATTTACGACATTCCGTCGTACAAAACGTGTCTCTTCTTTCCTCCACCACACACTTCTCTGACATGCCCCAAAACTTTATTTTGTCATTTTGACATTCATTATCTTGTTCAGGAATGTGTCTCCTTAGATGTAGTTTGGTCCCACCCTGCCAGACAAATTTCCAGTATTGAGCTCTTTCAGGTCAGAGGCCTCAACCAGGGGCCCTAAATCAGCATTGACAAAATGATGACCATTAACCCCTGCATTCCTATTTGATGCCAAATTGGTTTAAATGGTGTGTCAGAATAAATAACATTCCCCGCACCAACCAGCTATAAGACATTTCCTTTTTTTCCCCTTTGGATTCCTCTCCTCCCACCTCTCTCGACTCCTTTATGTCATTAATTTTTCTTAGCTACTTCTCTTTGTACATATTGCTGTTTTCCTTTGTCTCTAACTTTTAGTTTGAGTCATGTACAAGCCGTGCATGTAGGTCTTGAGCACAGTCTGTTTCTTTTTTTGTCATGGCCTTTTTTCCTTGCCGCCGTCGCCAAGTGCTTGCTCATGGTGGGAACTGTTGGGTCTCTGTAAATAATGTTATAAGGAGTATGGTCTAGACCTGCTCTATTTGAAAAGTGTCCTGAGATAACTTCTGTTTTGAGTTGGAGCTATACAAATAACATTGAATGGAAAAAATTTAATTGACTGGTGCCATCTGTTTTTTTCTGTCTAACCTTTGGTTCCTGTCAATCAAAAGGTAAGCGCTTAAAAAATGGCAGGAAGTTAAAATGCATACCGTTAAACACCGGGCCATTTCAAAGTAAAGCATGCAAATAATACCAAACACGGCAATAATAAAATCAAGTATGTGCTATGCAATATTGAATAGGTAGAGCAGCCAAATATAAATATAAGGAACATGCAATGTAATATAGGCACAACAAACATAAAAATATAAGAACAAATAAAACCAACCTCTGCTTTGTGACAGATTTGTAGTTCTATTTGTGGTTGACTATGCACTTTTTTGTTTTCTAAGCAAAGCAATTCACCCTTCATATGCACTTGAGCACATGCATCAATAAGCAATTCACAATCAAAAGGCTTGCTGTAGATATAAGGCAGTTGTCTCTGACAGTCTTCAGTTCAGTCTGAGGGTGTTTCAAACTGTTTATGGCTCAGCAGCCATCTATTTGCGAGAGTTATCACGTCATATATGTTTCTGTGGCTTTTGCAGTCTTTCTGTATGCTTTCAACCAGGAAGTAACATACTGTATATCATGGCTAAGCTGATAATGGCACTTTCAGTTTCAGATCAGCTTTGGTGTTAAAGATTTCTTCATGCATGTACTGAACACCTCTAATTGGCACTGAGACCAACGTTCAGTGCCAATTAGAGGTGTTCTGGACATCCAATGTCAAATGAGCCATGCAAGCAAAGAGTTTGACTCTGGTCTCAATTTTTGTAATGTTCTCTTAGTAAAATATGGATCTGATGAGCAGGCTTGATCTGAGCTTTGAAGCACAGGTAACATTTCTTCTTTACTGTAAATGCATGTTTCCAAATGGTGTCACTCAAACAGTAGCATTTATTTTCCTTCACCTTTCAATGGACAGGTTATGCTTTTGTCCTATTACTTGACAAAAACACTTTTTATATTTAATGTATTAAAAGGGTTGAGAGGCACTGTTGCTATGACAGTTGTACTTTTCTATTAACACTGATCAACATAAAACTATAGAAAAATGTTTGATGTAAAAGTTCAGCCTTTAATTTTACATTAGAACATATCAGTGAATGACAGTGATCAAATCTAATGTGAAAACTTAGACATGTGAAATGCGTTGTTCTGATTATGAAATTAATTATTTCTGCACCCCACAGTAGACTTCTTGACATTAACACATCAG